TTTCCGAAATGTTGCCTATGTTGCTCTATGTTGCAAGTTGCTGTACAACATTGAGAAAACATTGCTTCAATGTTTTCACTTGGAATGTTGCTGCGACACTTCTACGAATGTCATTGCAACATTAGCTATCAACATTGAGAGAATGTTGACACTCTTGACATCGACAACGTAGCGACAACATTCTGATACAACATGGACTTAGGAGTTTTAGAGAATTGTAAAGTTGTCCTCCTTGCCACAAGATGGAGACGTAAGTCTCGCTCTCTCACAGTACACAAAAGTGCTCTTCTCCCTTTCCCTGGAATAGTCCCGCACAGGAATGTCTAGTACTTTGCCATATGTCTCACATTGTCTCATTATAGGAATCAATGAACACGGACACTTCATCACCTGTTATCCTCATTTTCCAGACAGATTAATGGGGTCAAGATAAAAAAAGCTCATATTCTCGAAAAGAACCCTTTCCAATAACTTTTCGAGTTCATCCTACAGGACAATAAAAACGATGGTAGAGTCTGCGATCTCAATACTTCATATCCTCATTCTGGGTACCAGCTGAGGAAACGAAGGATTGATCTCGAGGACATTCCACAGAACATTTCTGTCGGACCTTTCCCTGTATTGTGCAATTTAGCACATCCAGGGGAAGATCACCTCCAAAAATGTACCGTCTCCTGCCTGTACATGATACAGATACTGTATTATGCATGGAGTAGGGGTTATACCAGTACAGGCTTCGTCCTGTTGATGTGAATGTCTGAGTAGAGAGGTAAAATATATGGTACGAAAGGATTAAATAAATAATTCAATATTGGCCAAATATCGGTCCAGTTCAGGACCAGTGAAGCCTACGCTTTTCCGTAATGCCAATATAGGCCCAGATTAGGTGCCCGTGAAGCAACGTTTTTAATCAACATTGCAGCAACATAAATCCTGAAACGTACCTGCAACGTATATGTAATGAATAAGTAGCGATTTGCAACATAAATGCAATGTTCCTTCGCTACATTTGAGCAACGTTGATGTTTTGGACATTTACACATAGATGCAACATTGTTCATCAACATTTCCTAAACGTTGCTGGAATATCTTGTGTTACTTGGGAATACCTCACCTGGAATATCTTGGGATTGCTTGATTGGTTCCATAGGAGATGAGGAAGATGGCTGGGAGATATTTTGTTGCCTTGATCTTTCTGCACCACCACCATTAGCAGCTGAAGCTCCAGGTGTAGAATAAGGCATCATTATGCATATCCTGAAGATACAAAAGTGAGAAAAGTAATATATTGGTGATAAAACTAAACTTCTGACAAAACAGCTCATTTGAGAGCATCTAGCATGAAAGTGTTGAATTCACCTGAAGAAACTTGCTTGTATGCATATTCTCCACTCCATGGACTTCTTGATAAACCAGCTGCCTTCTCCCCTAGTATGAATAATGATAATGAAATCCCTCAATTTCTTATTCAGAGTTGTCACACCAAATCAGGCATGCTTTGGAGTGGATAAAATACAAATTATTTCATGCAAGAGCATGGGCCACAAGCACTCATCACTCAATGGCGCCGAAAAAAGTGAAAATCCGCGAACTTTCCGACCTCCCCACGTATTATGCAGCAAAAAAAAAACACAGATTCATACGGGAAACACTACATGAAGACGATGCACCATCAAGACAGTCCCAGAAAAACACGTCACATCAGTCCTTTGCCCATGAGAAATCGCTCAAATACACTTCAGAGATTCAGTCTCATTGAACCATAAGGTTCCATTCAAGTTATGATATTCGAAAAAAAGGAAATGGCTGCTGAAATCATTCTACTTCTCATTAATAATATAGAGGTGTTGTTCTGGGACAGGTTTGGTACATGGTCATGATGTACCGTGTTTCCCATTTGACTTTATTTTTTATTGCTGTGTGATATTACTACCTGAGAATGGTGAATGCCTTTGACACTTATCGAAGTACCATATGTTACCGTGTTAGCCATTGCTTTTATGCTTTTTTAAAGTACACTTTAGTATGGCATCACTACTTCAACACTCATTCAAGGTTGACTCCATGTTTGAAATAGCAACATTGCGAGAACTTTGTCCAGTCAATGTTACCTCTGCAGATGTCTAGCGAGACATAGGAACAAGCAAGATTTCCTGATCACGAAGTGTGATGATGACTACTTGCCAACACTGGGAGGCACCTTATGCATGCAGTCAATAAGCGTTTCTAATTCTTTAGGAGCAGCACTTGTCACCAACCTGCAGGTCACCCGCAGTGAATACATGTAGGGTTGAAGGATGTCAGCCAGTATATGTACGGGCATACTCATTAGAGTTAAAAAGCGTATTCGGAGGATAGAGATCGAATCCAGATGATATTCAAATCAGACTTCAGTGATGAAATGGCGCATGCACACAAATTAAACAGATTGCTGAGGATTGTGTCATATAAACTTTGAACCAATGTGCATTCTAAATTTCTTTAAGGTGGAAGAATATCACTTTTCAATAAGGAGTCAACATTGATAAGGAAATATTCAATCAACGTTGCAAGGTTGCTGTTGAGCATTGAATCAATGTTGATATACCGTTGATGTCAATGTTGCTTTAATTGTTTATGCTTTAATTTTTAAAAAGTAAGAGAGAATGGAAAGGGATTTCCCTTCCTCAAAAACCACTCCAAGAGGGGAATATCCTCAATGGACACAAGACGTGCTCCCTCCAATACATGATTCTCATAGATTTGTCTCTGTGAGAATATTTTTTAATATTACATATAATTTAGCAAGTAGCGGAAAACACACATCGATGCGTCTATTATTTTGTTCATTTGGCACCCATGATCACAGCGTCACATCATGCAAATCTATTTCCTTTCTCTCATAAAGATACATGTATCATGTGTTTTAATTTTGCTCTCCACCAGACAAGATGGAATGCAAGTGGACGTTGGACGGAGAAGAGTACGCAGGGACCCGAAACGTAACTGTGTCAGGGCGTCCTTGTCTACCTTGGAGCAAATCAATATTGCTGGAGAATTGGCCAAGGTTCCCAGAGGACGTGAGGACGGAGAATCATAACTTCTGTCGCAACCCGACCCGCGGGAATGAGCAGCTCTACTGTTATTTCAATGAGAAAGAAAAGGAAGAATGTGACATTCCATTCTGCTCATTCCACTATCTTCACTAAAGATGCCTCGTCAGCATAGGAAGCAGTGAGGCAATAGGGGCGTTTTGGGGTTTAGGAATTGCTGGGCACATTCAGTTTACATTGTTAAATGTAGGTTTTTAGTTTTGACGTGTCTCCTTTAGATAACCAAGTTTGAAGCTGAGGAAAATCACCCCTAGTTCGTCAATCTTACTTTAGATTTTCATGAATTTCCACATATGGGGAATTTTTTTCGTCCTGCTTTCATCAACGTCGTGGTTTTAGTGTGTGACTTTTCAGATTCAGGTTCTGCCAGAACCTGAATGAGGACGTGAAGAGAGAGCGATTCAAGCACCAGAATCCAGACCTGTTACATGCATTCCTTCATTCCTCAAAGGTTTTATTCCTTGTGAAAAATGTCATGAAGGCGTTGTGTTGTCCCACAAGTGACAAATAATTCTGCCAATGAAAATTTTCTGATGGAAGTAAGAGCTTGTGAAATCCGTTTACCACTATTGGTGTTTTACATTGTGGTCATTGTATGGAGTGTTGGTTTTAAAACCGGTTAAAGGGAACACTTCACATCATTATTATTGACTCAATGTTAAAATGAGGATATTTTGAAAGAGCCTGCAATCTACATTAAGTATTTTTAGTCTGTGGAAAATCATGTCCCATTATATTGTACTTACACACGTGAAATTATCCTTTTTTAAGGTATCCTTCCTGAAAAAAACCTCACTCCAAACTCATGATTTTCTCATGAGAACTTAGGAAATTCTCATGGGTTTCGTTGAGTATATTATAAGGAAATCACCGCGAAGTAATCCTCATGAAGATCATATGAGGTTTTCTCTGCAGTGCACGACTGACGCGAAATGATGAAAATGTAGCGGCTCTGATGAGTCCTGATCTAACTGGAGCACCTCTCCCGTACTCTCCAAGTTTTATGTATTTTCGATTCTAGGTAGAAGATAATGACATATATTCGTTTATTCGGAAACACTTGTCCGAAGAGATATCCCAGTTCAGTTGGGAACCAGATCATGCTGGCCCACAGTATGGAATGGCATATTTGCTGCACACTTTGGGTCATATATTCAAAGGGCTACAAAGACTTAGAAGCTACTTAGTCCCTAATATCTTTCAGAGAATTAGTAACTACTAATTCTTCGTGGCCATTTGAAAATATGACACAATGTGTGAAACCGTAATTTAAACAAGTGCTTAGTGAATCAATTCTCAGTCACACCAGATTGATAGGAACAAACGATGTAAGACGATTCTGAGGTCTGCTGATAAGCAGCCTACAAAAATAAGGTGGTTCTCTCAAATTTTGTATGAAAAATGTCTCCCACAAGTAGTCACTAAATGGACACCCTGTAAAATATAGACTGAATCTATCTTTTACAGGATCACTGATTGGTGCCTGACAAAAATCCACGCAAAATTGGCGATAACTTGCTTCACTATCTTCTATTTAAATATTTTTCCCTTACATATGGCGTTTAAAAAAAATGCAAGTATGTCCTACGTTGCATTTTTGTAATGGTGAATGATTCTTGTGATGCACGAGAAGGTTGTTTTTTGGAAAATGGGCTTTGGGACTTCCTATCCGAATGCATAACTGCATGCATAAGCTGGCGATTCTGGCGACCTGATCCTTACGATCATATCAATAAGGGAGGATTAGAAGGTCAGCTGTTAACATAAGCCGAAGCGTCCTTACGAAATTGGACTGCGAAATTAAAAACGTGGAAGAGGTGCTTCAAGGACAAGTTTTTCCGGCGCGGTAAGGTGCGACGTGGACAGGATTAACTTGGACCTATCTCTCGCGACAGATATAATTTTACCTAAATTTAATTTGAAGTTGTTTCAAACAATATAAGACATTTAAATTTAATTATTGAATTGCCATTGCTTTCGTCTACAATGTTACGGAAGCGCGTTATGTTACCATGCATCCTAGTGCTCAAAATTTGCGTGCAAAAACTAGGCAATATTATTGGAGTTATGTAACTCAATTTGTAATGAACGTAGTAGAAAATGCATTTAATAATGCGATGCTACATTATCTCAGATTTAGTTGGAGTCTAAAACCGATTTTCTAGCTAGGCTTGGACCAAACATAGCGCTTTACCCTAAAGGTCACTATTCCTCTTGGGGGGCCAAGTATGGGGCCGCACATCTCCGAAACCAATAGAGGCAGAGAGCCAGCATTTTTTCGTATGTCTTAAATGCCAACGTGCCATGACACTTTTTTAAAGTAAATCAAAGTCTGAAGCGCAACCGCACCTTGACCACTTGAGCTGGATTGCCCCAGCGTCGTTTTGATCGCATTTTCCAAGGGAAGCTGCTGAATCTAATTTTCGGATAATTCTTAGAGCAATGCCACACCGATACAAAAAGATGTCATGTGGTTCATAAATCACGAGAAGGAATGACTGATATTTTCCCCTTTGAAGCAGTCTGCGATTAAGTCATTCAAGACTGGCGTGACTGACGGAAGTGAGTCAAGGCGTGACTTTGGTTCGTGGGCGAAGGAGGAGGACCAGGAGACACCTGCCCTCCAAGTCAAGTGAAGATTGACTTGGAGGGCAGATGCCTTTTCTCCGTAAGAAGACCCATAACGAAAAGAGGGGAACGGAAACGCTCTTATCCATTTATGTTACCATGTCAATTCAATTCCTGCTATTTGGGGAAAATCGAATCTTCAATACTCGGTAAATTATCAACTTTTTGGACAATGCTCAAATATAAACTAGACTGCGAAATACATTTAAAAAGATGAACTTCAGTCTGCACCTTTCCGATGTTTTACTGGAAACTTAAATTTCGAAAGCATTCTAAATTTAAAAAGAAAAAATATATTTTATGAGAATGTAATGCCAAGGCTTTCTTCTGTTAAGACTTTCTTGGATTAGGAAAGTCGAATGACTTGGCTTGCAGCGGGAGTATTAGCAGTGCACACTAACGGTTGCCTCTAACGTTTGTGGAGTCGAGGAGAGAAGCACAAAAAGCTTTTTTACAGGGTGGGCCAAAAAAAAAAATGCTGTAATTTTTGGTGAGTCGTCAATCTCGTTGTAGGCTGCCGATTCTGATTAAAATTGGTATGCTTATACGGTGACACAATTGAAGTTTAAGTGCCAAATTTCAGCCTTTTGGTTTTAAAATTGTAAGAACTGTAATTATTTTCTGATCACCCATGAGAAAATGTGCAGTCGAAAATATCGATGTGAACTTCAGACCGGGTTGAAAGGGAGGACCGAATTCATGACCTTCCATCCCTGCATAATGCTACAAAAGGAAGATTGGGAGGAAGACTGGATTTAGGCCTCACACACAAAGGACGAAAAACTCGACGTGCTCGACTCGAGTCGAGGCTTTTTTCTGATCGTTTCGAGGCTACGGTAAAAGTGAGGATCCTCGACCGAGCGGGTTCCTCTGCACGGCATCGTCGCAACCAGACTGCGTCGAGGCTAGGCCTATTCCTTCTCGATCGTCGCCGTGCCGCCGGTGCAAGACTGCCAAACCGTTCCCGATGGCATGCATCTGACCCAAAAACTCAAGAGGGAAGCCGCAAGCGGCGGGAAAACGGCGGTGAGGCTGTCGTTCCCTGGAGTAGGTCTGCTCGCCCCATTCTTTTCGCACGGTCACTCGTCGTGCAATCGGATGCAACGGTCCAGTCGTCTCGCACGAGGTTTTCACTCCATTTCTCGACGCCCTAGTATTTTCTGCATCGCAAAATATTTTTCATGAATACGCGTGAAAAGCAACTCGGTGCCGTCACGAGTCGGAAAAGGAAAATTTACGCTGCCGAAAACGGAGCGAAATGTACTAAGATTCATTTTGGTGTTGCTCAGTGGCGTAGGGAAGGGTGGGGGGGGGTTTAGGGGGTTACAACCCCCCCCCCCCCTCCACCTTGGGCTTCCCTGTCAGTGACACTGACCGGAATATTTCAACCTTCCTTGGGAAATCCAATTTTAGGTATGGCCCTTCAAGGAAAGTCTAATGTCCGTCCACAGACCCAAGATGCCAGACCATGACTTCTTCGAAAAGGTAGATTTCGGGTAGTGGAGCTAGGCGTAGGGTTGGGGTGTCTACCTGCCCTCAACCCCCCCCTTTCCGATTTACTGCCTACGCCACTGGTGTTGCTGAATTGATGTAGCGTGCAAACGTGAAAATTTCCACCGTTTCCCACCGCCGAATTTCCACCCTGGTTGCTTTTCTCCCATTTCCTCGGGTAACTGCATTCGCTTCTGGTCGAAGATGAGACTGGTAACACGATGACATGTGAACCATGACATATGATCATTGCCAGCAGTTACCATAGCAACACTGTCCGTAGCCGACATCGCCTCGTACTCTCGTTGTTGGTTGTGAGCACACAGCCCGCGGGAAGGCATTCCGTAAATTGCTATTCTTAGCGCCGAAATTAGGCGCCATAACGTCAGAATTGTAAGATTTTTGGAACTGTTTGACCCGATGAATAGAAATGTTTTCCGCCTCATGTGAAAAGGTGGCGAAAGTAACGATTTCTGCATTCTGTCGGTATACGAACCTTCACAGTTGAATTTTCTTGATTCCATTCGACATCGCGTCTGCATGAAAACAATTTCGACACTGTCGAAGAGAAATGGAAATGTTTTCCGCTGGATATGGTACTGTGGCGAAATCGACTATTTCAGGATTGTGTCGAAATACCTAGAAATGTGTATTTTCTGGCTTTGATTTGACATCGCTTTTATATTGAGTTAATTTTGGCACCATGCGATGAAAAGAAAAATTTCCGCCGACTATGGTAGGGCGGCGAAAGTTACGAATTTTGGAAATAGTTTCTGTCGGAATAACTTGAAATTTGCCTTTTCTAGCTTTGAGTTGATATCGCCTTTATAGTAGGTCAATTTCGGGACTGAATGTAAAAAGAAAATTCCGGAGAACAATGTAGGGTGGCGGAAGTAGGGAATTTTGGAAATAGTGGGATATTCCTGAAAGATCATGCTTCTATTCCATATCGCAAATATATAATCCATATGTGGATTATATGAATATATAATCCATATCCAATGTGTTTTGCCGGACATGGTTGGCGAAAGTGGCGATTTTTCTTTAAGGACTCTGATTTTCGTGACAGATGCTATTTAAGGGTTTTATTCGATATGGTAGCTATATGAATTTAGTTTCGGCATGGTGCGATGAATAACGTTTTTTTCGGTTTTGGGTTAGAAAATCTCTGTAGAAAATCTCTCAACATAACATGAAAGACATGTAGAAATGCTGGAAAGTTTTTTGATACCTTTATGATTTCATCTTCATTGACTCTGGCTAGGCTCAATATTTCAGGCAAGATGTTAATAAATCAGGTTTGCAGGTGTTTTTATTTAGATAAAAATTACTGAAAGTCATGAAACGGCGATTCACTTGTGATTTACCGGTAATATTACTATTAAGCAACATTGGGATACTTGCCAGTAATCCGGTAATGTTAGGGTAATGTTTCCAACTCTCCTAACCCTAATAGTTTTTTTTTCTAATGAGGAGAAAGAGCTAGTTTGCAGCTTACCTGTCTTTGATAATGAATCGCAGGCATACAAACTTTAGAAATACACTTTTCCATCAAATTCCTGCCACCTGCTACGTATCCGCGAGCAGCAAGAAGTCATTGTCTAGTTTCACTATTTTAACGAAGATAAATAGCTGACATGCAGATGTTCCAGTTATGATACTGAATCGTAGCAGTAAGAATGCGAAAAAGACATACAGCCACGTTTGGAGAAAATCATCAGCCACCAGTTCGCGACGAATACATTATGGCCCAGTTGCCTTATTCTAATGAAGATGAATAGCTGAAACGGAGTTATTGTAGCTTCGAAAAGGAATCACAGGCAATTGAACTTGCGGATTGGAAATTTCCATGGAATTCAGATGGATCCTCCTGCGACAAATCCTCGAGCAAAAAGCGATTGTTTAGTTGCGAAGTTCTAATGAAGAAAAATAGCTGAAATGCAGATAATCGAGGCCCGTTACTGAATCGTAACCGGAAGAACGCGAAAACGAAGAGATTCAACAATGTTTAGTTAAAAAAATCATCTGGGACTAATCACCGACGAATACATCGTGGCTTATTTTCGCTTTTCTATTGAAGCTAAAACGCAGTTAAACCGAAAGCGAATCACAGGCATGTGAACTTGCGAAATAGAAATATTCATGGAATTTCGATGCATCTATTGCGGCAAATTCGCAACCCACGAATGAATGTCTAGTGGCGCTGTTCTAATGAAGATAAATAGCTAAAATGCAGATAATCTAGCTCTTATACTACATCGTAGAAGGAAGAATGTGACAAAGACGTGATATAAGGACATTTAGAGAGAACCATTTGCGAAAAATCCGTGACGAATACATCACGGGACAACTTCGCTTTTCCACTGAAGAGAAACAAGCTCATCTAGCTTTGATATTGAATCGCAGCCCTACAAACTTGAGAAGATGGATTTACGACGAATCCACGACCAAAAAATTTGTGTTGCGGTGATATTCTAATGAAGACGGACAGCTCAACGCACTTCATGTAGTTCTGATATTGAATTGTGCTGAAAAAAAAGCGAGAAATAGTTGTATGATCTTGATCCATCTTCCAGTTTCCCGTCTCATTTGGAAAGGTGGCGAAAGTG